TTGGCATATTATGTTCTCACTCATATGTTTTCCTAATCGCTCATCACAAAGCACCCCCTTTCCTCGTCACGTGACCAAAAATAAAAATGAACAATAACATATTTGTCACGTGGTCCAGCTAGCCTGACCATCTATTCTATTAACCGTGCTTTAACTTTGGTGTTTAGGGGAGGTAGATCGAAAGCCATCTTCAACAGGTAGTTCGATCTCATAGCGAATGGATGAATCTTGAGAATTCAAGTGATTTTGAATCTGGCGAGCTTCCTCGAACTGCTGGCAGATTCAGAAATATTTTCCGAGCAATATAGCTAGGGAACAAATTTCAATATATATATATATATATATATTCCAAAAAACAAAATCGCCTACATTCTTGCTGTGCCCAGTTGTAACCCCGTGGGTACTGGACGTTAAAAGCATGTAGTAGGCTGCATGCAACCACACTAAATACTACATTTAAAATGCCTATTCTCTTAACCTTACCTGCAGTCAGCCTAGACGTAGGCCTATACACGGGTGGCTTTGGCAGATTTGGTCAATTTTGGGCTAGCATTTGGTAAGTATCGCCATGGCCATTTGCGATTCCTTCGCCCCGCCCCCAAATTGCCTAGGTCCAGTCTTCTCATTAAAAAAAGCGCTGAATATTAAAAAAATAATACAAATCGACTGCCTAGGTCTAGGCTGACCTGTAGCCATTCCTTTGGCGATAAGCAGTCCTGGTGATGTGCTCACCGTCACTTTCTTGTTTACTTCACCCACTTTATTATCTTGTTGATTGCAAATAGAGACACAAATTAAAGTACCATTCAGGCAATTGCATGGATAACATAACTGAATGCTTGCAAATTTGAAACATGTTATATAGTTTAAGAAATCATTTAAAGGCGGCTTCATGCAGTTATAATATTTCGACAGCTACTTGTGTGTTAAATTATTTACGAGTTAAGACCATATCGTCTTGGTACCACTAACGCGAGGGAAGGGGGTCGATCTGGGGAGGGGGTCGCTCTGCCAGATCCGGTGCTAAGTGTTATATTGTAAGAAACAATATAGATATGTAATGTGTACGTTAATACTTATGGGAAACTATTATGAAATATATACATCGCTTCATCTATGCCTCGTGTCTCTATCTCTGTCCTTCCCCGTAAGTCCTCTTCCCCGAATCCCGCTACCAGTTCACTTCCGTCTATACGCACTTCCGCTACTAGAACACAACATCTCCCTTTTACTTTAGAATATGAAATATACTTATGCAAACAATCATGCACCTAAATTATGACCAAAATTCAATAGTTCTGGTTTAAATGTCAACCTAAACAATAGTACCAATATTTTAACAGTTAAGTTTCTTCGCGCAAGAACCGAGGTCTTCTTTGTACTCTTGCCGGATACCTTCGTGGAATATCTTGTGGCTGTTCGTTATTATCTTCATCGTCCGTTACATCGCTAGCGCTGTCGTCGCATTCCTGTTCATCAGCACTTTCGTCTTTCGAGTAAAATCTTTTGAAATGCGATACGTTTCAGGTGGTAGTGAGATCGTGTCTCGCTGCGGTTATCTTTGTGCCATTAACTTTCGTTACAGTCAAAGGTGTTGGATCAAAAACAGTACTAAATTTGTTTTTTCGTTCTTGTTTCACCAAAACTTTCATTCCTACTTCGATGTTTGCTTTCCGAGCTCGTCGTCTTTTATCTGTATACTGCTGCGCTTTCGACTGCTTCTCTGACGTATTTATCTTAGCCTGTTCGTGTAAAATCTTGTAATCAATATCCCCCTCTTTTACAAAAGTTGGCATGTTCGTACGAACTTCGCGATTGAACAACAGCTGACTTGGTGCGACCCCGGTGGTACAGTGTGGTGTAGTTCTGTAAGCTAACAGAAAACCATGTAGCTCTTCTTTCCAATCCTTTCCTTCCATTTTCGCTGCTTTTACAGCCTTACCGAGGGGCTTCATGAACGACTCGGCTTCCCCGTTGGCCTGTGGCCAATAAGGTGTTACAAGCCGGTGATTTATTCCGCGATTTCGCATGAATTTCTTCACTGCATCACTAGCAAACGGTGGACCATTGTCCGAGTAGATTTCAGTGGGAATGCCATGAACTGCGAAATTCTGTCCAGGCGATTCGTGACGGCGCTGGCAGTAGTGGATTTCATTATTTCCACTTCTGGGAACTTTGAATATGAATCAATGACAACAAAAAGTGTTTCCCCCGTGGGAAATGGACCGCAAAAATCCATGTGAAGTCTATCCCATGGTTTGGAGGGCAATTTGTGTTGTTGAAGAGGCGGTGGCGGATCACCATGCCCGAGAGACTGGCATGCGTGACAATGCTTAATAAATTCTTCCGCATCTTTGTCAATTCGCGGCCACCACACTTTCGTCCTCAGGGCTCGTTTTGTTTTGACAATGCCCTGATGACCTTTGTGGGCATGTGTCATGGTTTCATTTCTAAGCCTTGTTGGAATGATCAACTTATTTGCACGGAGCAAGAGACTGTTTGGTGTGACAGCGAGTTCTTCTCTCACTGCATAAAAGGGATGATGCTTTGCCCAGACACCCGATTGGATACTTTCAATCGCTGATTGCATTTCTGGATCAACTGCAGTTGCTGCAATAATGGACTCGATACTCATGGCCTTCGGGATGGTGTTCTTCTCTATAAAATTGTTATATTGTTCAGCAATGTCACAATGTTCAGTGTATACTACAGGTAGTGGTTGTCTAGAAAGTAGATCAGCAGGGTTGCCTTCGCCTTTGCGATATATTATATTAAATTTGTATTGTTGTAAGCGAAGAGCCCACCGTTGAATCCGAGCAGGTGGTTTGGATTTGGGTGAATAAATTACCTCAAGGGCTTTGTGATCGGTGCAAATTGTGAATTCTGCACCAATTAGGTACATGTGAAACCGTTCGCAACCCCAGACAACGGCTAAGGCCTCTCGTTCGGTTTGTGAATACCGTTGTTCAGTTAGAGTGAGTGACCTACTGGCATATGCTACATTATGCAAATTACCTGCTCTGTCAATGTTCGACAATATTGCTCCAAGACCTGTGGGGCTTGCATCGACTGTTAGACATGTTTTCTGATTTGGGTCATAAAAATGCATGATACAGTCTTTCTGTATAGCTTCTTTAATAGCAGCAAATGCTGCTGTGTGTCTAGGTGTCCATGCATAGGGTGTTTTGGCTACAGTAAGTTCTCGCAAGGGGGATGTAAGAGTTGAAAAGTTCTTGATGAATCTGGAACAATAATTTGCTAGCCCTAGGAAACTACGGAGTTCTTTTGTGTCCTTTGGTTCCTTAGCATGCTTAATTGCATCAACTTTCCTTGGATCAACTTTTATGCCTGAATCAGTAAGGAGAAAGCCATAGAACCAAAGTTCTCTCTGATCAAATAGACATTTGTCATTATTTACGGTTAAGCCGGACTCGTCTAAGCGAGCAAATAACTGCTCTAACCGTAAATTATGTTCCTGTTGTGTTGACCCCCAAACAATTATATCATCCGCGATGTTACGAACTCCGTCTATCCCTCGAATGGCATTCTCGATAGCATGCTGAAATACCTCGCTGGCCGAGTTGATACCGAAAGGTAATCGTTTATAGCGAAACAATCCACGACGCGTAATAAATGTAGTAATGGACCTGGAACTTTTCTCAAGGGGAATTTGGTGATACCCAGCCTTCAAATCAATCTTACTGTATTTAATTGCCCCATTCATACTTTCCATCAGTTCGTCAACTGTAGGAATTGGGTGTTTTTCTCTTTTTATAGCTGTGTTTGCTTTGCGGTAGTCGCCGCATACTCTTACTTCATTGGGGTTTCTGGGTTTTGGTGCAAGAACTAGTCCACTCACCCAGTCAGTGCTCTCATCAGATACAGGCTCAATTATATCTTTTTGTAAGTAATCGTCAAGCCAGGTGTCTAACTGTTTGCGTAAATGAAATGGAACACGCCTGTTCGTTTGGGCAACAGGGGGTACATTGGTATTTATGTGAATCTTTTGTTCATGCCCCTTTAGTTTACCAATTCCTGTAAATACATTAGGGTGCCTACCTTTCAATAGGTTTTCTTTTCTTTTACTCGCATCCAAATCACAGCTACTCGTATCAGTTCCAGAGTCCGACTTGACAGCCGATACTTTCGACACAGAATTAACATTCATGGTAATCAAACGCAAATTAGTAGACGTCTCACAACCGAGAATTGAAGTAGTGCCTTGAGTTCCCTTTGTGACATAAAATGTAGCGGCAGCAACACGACGCTTTGAGTTAACTAGAACTTCAAACTTTCCTTTCAACTCAACTGCTTCTGAAGAGCCAAACGCATAGATTCTAGTTTTAGTTTTTCGTAAAGAGATTTGGTCCTTTGAATTTGTACAGAGAAACTCATAGTCCTTTTGTGTCAAAATGTCAAAATGTCAAAAGCGACTATACATCGTTTGAATCGTTGCAGCCATTCTTTCCACTGCGAAGCCAGCGAACTTGGCTCTGAATGAGGATCAAACTGTTGAATTCCCGAGAAATCTAATCCTGCCATAGTAATCGAATGTTGAGGTTATCCTCGTCGCCAATGTTATATTGTAAGAAACAATATAGATATGTAATGTGAACGTTAATACTTATAGGAAACTATTATGAAATATATACATCGCTTCATCTATGCCTCGTGTCTCTGTGTCTGTCCTTCCCCGTAAGTCCTCTTCCCCGAATCCCGCTACCAGTTCACTTCCGTCTATACGCACTTCCGCTACTAGAACACAACATGTACCTTATTATGTGCCCATATATCGAAGCGTGATGTCACAGAGTAGAGACATACAGAGACGTAACTAGTGTACTTTTTTGTGCCAATGCTCGACAAGTTACTACATGCATGCATCTGATTGGATGACGACCTGATGACAAGTCACTTTAAACTTGCTGAGCACGCGCAGTTGATCATTTTTCGCCCGATCGCCTGAAAAAAAGTGGGTACATGATAACGTAATCTTCCGCAGTGTTTACAACGGTCAGTTACGTCTCGGTATGTCTTATCTACTCTGTAGTGATGTTTTGTATTTGAAATTTTGGCGAGAAGTGTGTCTCCTTTGCCGATATTTTTGTATAATTTTATATTTATATTAAGTCTCTTTTATTTGGCGAACTAAATGTATCTTGTTTTCGTAATAAAGCTCAATATTTGGTGAGTGTTTTTATATTTTGTAGCGATTTGTTTCCACTTCAATTGATTATGATTTGTGATAGATTTGGTCGGAAAATTTATATAGACAAAGTTTATATGCCATAGACGCATATAAAGTCTATTTAACACCGACCAAATCCCTCATATTACAGATGATATTTTTCATAATAGTTTTCTAAATGACTGTATATTTGTTATTATATTTTAAACCATAGTTTTGAGCAGAGAATCTTGCTATATTAAGTATGATATTCAAGGTGACAAGGTATCCATCTTTAATTTATAATATACAGAATACAATAGACTGAATTTCTCTCTTTTGTATAATCATTGGGCCAGGCCGTATATCATAAACATGCAGTAATCTATCTAAATGAAAATGTTATGCTAATTTTTTGCCAGTATTAAAACATTTATTATACAAGGTTAAGGTTATATTCAAAATAGAAAATGAGCACAAGCAAAGCAAAAACTTGCTGATTTATATAGTCCAGGAGGAGAAAGGGGGGTATCGTAACCCGAGCAGGGAATTTATGAGAATGTGTGACTTTGGTCAATTTTGGGGCGCTGATTTCAAAAATCGATGTTATACGGGCCAATACCGGGGCCTTCAGCCTCGTTTTGATGCATATAGCCTCGTTTTGGGGCATACATAGGAAACACGTTAGTTGTCTTAGTTAGCTAGGGAAACCAGTGATTTTGGTCAATTTCGGTGCGCTGATTTCAAAAATCGATGTTACACGAGCGAATAGCAAGGCCTTCAGCCTCGTTTTGGTGCATGCAGCCTCGTTTTGGCGCAAGTAGATGGAAATCATTAGTTAGCTTAGATAGGCAAAGTCGTTGGTGATCTTGGTCAATTTCGGTGCGCTGATTTCAAAAATCGACGTTGCACAGCAAAATACCGAGGCCTTCAGCCTCGTTTTGGTGCGTACAGCCTCGTTTTGGTGCCTACATATGTGCCTTAGATAGCCAAGGAAGTTGGTGATTTTGCTCAATTTCGGTGCGCTAATTTCAAAAATCGAAGTTATATGCGCAGATATATTGGAACCTCTAGCCTCCGTTTGATACACATATCCTTGATTTAGTGGAACTATTGGGAAGATCCTTACTTAAACAAGCAAGAAAGCTACTGATTTCTGCTCTTTTTGATAAAAAGCAATTCTGTCGCCCCATTAAATTGAGGTCATATTATGCATGGCACTAAAAAAAACATGTACATTCTGATTACAAACCTTGCATTTTCCTTTTCAAAATTCACTCGTGTCTTCAATTTCCACATCCAAATCATCCTCGTAGTCATCATCGGAGGACAAACTGTTCTAACTCTCCGTGCCTGCGAGTAGCGCATCAATCTCCTCGGGATAGGAAATGTCACTCCAGACAACGCTTCCATCTCCGTCCCATCCATGCTCGTCGGGCTCTCGAGTTCTACTAGCAGCTGATCGGCGTGTCAAAAGATGTACGCGACATAGTTAGCTCTCATGATGTGATGATGAAGATTTGACTGGCATAGTAGCATTAGACAAAGGTCAATGATCTTTTTCTTGTTGAACTTGTTCCAAAATACTTTCTTCCTTGCCTCATTGACTGAGAGGATACGTGGATGCTCGTATATAGAACAGACGAACCATTCTAAACCCCGAACCAACTTCTCGCTTGCTGTCACCTCCGTACCCAAGGATGAAAATAGATCGATAAAGGCAGTGTTCTTGGTCACAGCTTTCCACACGGCCTGCTTTTCCCTTCGAAAAAAGCTCGATACGTAATCGTCCGGAAAAGGCATGCGTTCCCAAAAGAGCTCATCTGTGACCAAGGGACAATCCAGTTGACGTCACGTCGATGATTTTCCTGTTCTTCCCGCTGCTATTGTCAATCAGAATCTGTGTGTCCGAAAAATAGTGACCAATGAACAAACTAAGGTTATTATGTCTATATTACCAGATGGCGACCGTACCATTGCAGTTGAGTTAGGTGGCAATTGGCTAGCATGCACAAATGCAATGAGTTTATTACCAGAATTAACCAGCGACCGCGAGGAAGCGGACAAGAAACTCGTTGCATTTGTGCATACTAGCCAATTGCCACCTAGCTCAACTGCAATGGTACGGTCGCCATCTGGTGATATAGACATAATAACCTTGTTCATTGGCCACTATTTTTCGGACACGCAGATTCTGACAATGGCAGCGGGAAGAACAGGAAAATCATCGACGTGACGTCAACTGAATTGTCCCTTGGTTACAGAAAAGCTCTTCTGGGAATGCATGCCTTTTCCGGAAACGATTATGTATCTAGCTTTTTTCGAAGGAGAAAGCAGGCCATGAAGAAAGCCGTGACCAAGAACACTGCCTTTATCAATCTATTTTCACATTTGGGTACGGAGGTGACAGCAAGCGAGGAGTTGGTTCGGGGTTTAGAATGGTTCGTCTGTTCTATATACGGACATTCAAGTATCCTTTCTGTCAATGAGGCAAGGATGAAAGTATTTTGGAACAAGTTCAACAAGGAGAAGAAGATCATCGACCTAAGTCTGATGCCACCATGCCAGTCAAATATCATCACATCATGAGAGCTAACTATGTCGCGTACATCTTTTGACACGCCGATCAGCCTCTAGTAGAACTTGAGAGCCCCGACGAACATGGATGGGACGGAAATGGAAACGTGGTCTGGAGTGACATTTCCTATCCCGAGGAGATTGATGCGCTACTCGCAGGCACGGAGAGTTAGAACAGTTTGTCCTCCGATGATGACTACGAGGATGATTTGGACGTGGAAATTGAAGACACAAGTGATAAGGTTTGTAATCAGAATGTACATGTTTTTTAATGCCATGCATAACATGACTTCAATTTAATGGGGCGACAGAATTGCTTTTTATCAAAAAGAGCAGAAATCACTAGCTTTCTTGCTTGTTTAAGTAGGATCTTCCCAATAATTCCACTAAATCAAGGATATGTGTATCAAACAGAGGCTAGAGGTTCCAATATATCTGCGCATATAACTTCGATTTTTGAAATTAGCGCACCGAAATTGACCAAAATCACTGGTTTCCCTAGCTAACTAAGACAACTAACGTGTTCCCTATGTATGCCCCAAAACGAGGCTATATGCATCAAAACGAGGCTGAAGGCCCCGGTATTGGCCCGTATAACATCGATTTTTGAAATCAGCGCCCCAAAATTGACCAAAGTCACATATTCTCATAAATTCCCTGCTCGGGTTACGATACCCCCCTTTCTCCTCCTGGACTAATAATATTAACCAAATTATCTGCCAATGGTAATGTCGGCCAAATTGTCGATCATTAAAGCTGTTTATATCAGCCCTGTTCGGCTTCATAATAATTTTGTAAACAAAATAATTTCACTTCACATGAAAACTGGGCTAGCATGTCTAGCTGGTACCGGTAGCCTGGTATCTCACTTTCAAGACTCAAACAGGGTTCCCGGTTAGCCGGTTGTCCATAATGTAAACTGGATACCTTTTCCAAGTAAACTTTTCCCAATATTTGCTTGCGAACATGTTTGCCTGGCATACTGTACATCTCATTCCAGCTAGCTGCAATTATGTAAACAGCTACAATATGCCCAAATGCATCCTACCTTAATATTTTACTCTGTCTAATGCCAGACAATTTTACTCATCAAACAAATTAATGAGTGAATATATTATTACATGAACCTTGAACGCCTACTTTCATAGAGTTCAGTTTCCTAGCCACATGAGTAACTTCCTTTGATGGGATAGGGATACCATTTGTATGTGTGAACCGAGTATGTTATTGTATTTTTTAGTACCTGTGCAATGCATTTTAATACGTTAACCCTTTAAGTGGCAATGCGTCCTACTTTATTATTTTACTCTGTCTAACGCCAGACTAGTTTAATACTCTGTCTAATGCCTGATGACTTTACTCATCAGGGGGAGAGTGCTGCCACTCAATGGGTTAAACCTTTGTTTGGCTCTGAGTTCATGATGCATTTTGACCTTACTAAATCCAATTGAGTTTACATCCGACATTTGCAAATACTTTTCTCAACCATTACAATTTTTTTTATTAAAGGAGAGAATAAACTATTTAATAGCCGCTATCTGTACATATAACTACACTGCAAAAAATCGAATTCTAGTCTAGAATAATATTCTTATTTTTTAGATTATTTTTCTTATTTTAAGTAAATATTTCTTATCAAGAAATATTTCAAGAAACAAAATCTAGTTTTAAGAACAAAAATCTTAAAGGAAGAAAATATAACTAGGCAAGAATATTCGAGAGAATATTTTTCTTGTTTTAAGAATAACATTTTTCCATCCTAGAATAATATTCTTATAATTAGAAAAACAATCTTGAAATGAAGTTTAATTATCACTTATTTACTGAGACCGAGGGAAACAGTGTGTTTTGTGGACCCGAGACCGTCGATGTTTCCCGAGGCGAAGCCGAGGGAAACATCGACGGTCGAGGGTCCACAAAACACACTGCTTTCCCGAGGTCTCAGTAAATAAGTGTTTTATTATATATCAATAGTCAAAGAAACAACAAATTAAAGAACAAATGAACGTAAATACATGAAATACGTTATTGTTAAAACGTTAAATTTAATAAACACAGTTGCTTAAAACAGTTAAAAGCGAAAGTTTATAAAGTGATCAAATGTTTAATAAAAAGCATCCAATTTATTTGAAAAAGTAAACAACACTCTAAACAACAGTCATTAACAGTCATTCAAGGATAGAGAAACTACTTGCCATTAAAATTAAAGGTTACATTGCAATTATTGAATGCACCACTTGCAAACGTGACATTCTTAAGAGTGTTTGTTTGTGTTGCGTGAAGAACCGGTGAGCCAGGCAACGAATGACCTGGTAGAGGAGAGAAGCATATTGTATCCAATACATTTTCGTACTGGCTGGACGTCAGTTCTAGCTGGGTTTCTGAAGGCGAAGACAAGGTTGTCTCCTCAATTTCAGAAGGAAATCCACACGCCTGACCAAGTGTTTCGGAAATTTCTCTTTGCTTGTTTTCTGAAAGGCGACGTGAGTAACTTCTGATGCTCGCTTCTGATTTATGACCAGAAACTCGCATTATGTGCCTGGCTTCGAAGTTGGAGTGGTCTAGGACGGTTACAGCCGTCGCTCGTATGCTGTGGTTTGTGTACTCTTTGGACAGGTCGGCTGCTCTTGAAATGTCTTTCATGAAGTTGCCAAGGGTATTCTTTCCGACCGGTACGTTACAGTACCAGCAGATGTCAGCTGTTGCTTCCTTCGGTCGTTGCCAAAGGCATTTTAACTCGGGATGAAGCTTCGAAAGATACAACTCAAATGAATTGACTGGACATAGTGCACCCGGTTGCTCGTACATTCTTCCATCTGTTGTGGAATCTTGGGGGTCGTCATTTTCCCGATGATTTTTATCGAGCTCGTCGACAGCCTGGTAAACGTATCTTCTATTCTGCGCGTCAACAGCTACCGCGAACGTGTCTTTTGTTTGTTCTCCCAAGTTTTCTCGTCCCCTTCTGATCAGATGAAACATTATATCAAACATACATTTTTGCTGCAGTCCTTTAGGAGTATTTAAATCGAAGCTTAAGTACAGCTTTTGTAAGTCGTCCTTCGTAATTTCTGGATGGTGGTTAACTTTAGCCATTTCGTTTCAGTTCAACGAGTAATGCAGAAAATACTTTGTTTGACGACCCGAAGGATACGTCCTCCACGATGTTTACTTTCTATTCATTCATTAAATATCGTGCAAGCCCATATCGTATTGAGTTCATAGTGCTTTTACTGTAAAGTGTTCCGTCTTTTTTTCTTGCATTAGCATAAAAATGTCTGAGTAGGTTGTCAAGTTCTACTTTGTTTATATTTTCAAACTCCGTAGGAAGTTCTTTTTCGGCACAATATTCTCTTAGTATTTTCACAGCTTGTTTAGTTGCCTTTTTTGTTGACTTTGAGTCCTTGTCTGCCAGCATTGACTCGATATCGACGTCATTTTTCCTGGCAAACCTTTCCATATTCGCTTTTTTACAAATAAGTTGAAAATACGAAAATATAAAAATAGCTAACAAATCGCGCGCTTTTAGGCATGTTCAAAGGTCGCATCTTCACGTGATGGCGCACGTGATTTTTTTTGTTATTCGCCGGTCGATAACGTATTATCTCCCTCTCGCGCTGTTGCGAGGGAGACAGTCTAATTTCGTCACTCTCACGTGATACGCTCTCGACCAATAAAACACTAGAAAAATGCGACTTTGACTATTGATATATAATAATATTATTTATCGCATATATCAAAAACCTTTCTTTCGGACGGCAACGTTTGCATGGCCGAAACGATATATGATATTGAATTGAATTAAACGTTGTTCTATTGCATATCTTTCACTTTTTTTGTCAAATTTGAAGCTGAACGGCTCTGTCCTGAATTGTCGCAGTTTCAACATAGCACTATCGTAATGAATTTGCCGGTATATTGCCAATGAATTGTAATTGAAAAATAACAATTATACATGAATTCAAATCATTTGCAACAATCGTCTATCTACACTATAATGAAGATGGTATGATCCACCGCAAAAAATGATGTGTAAATTTACCCAAGATTTTGCGTATAAATATCACCACATGTTATGACATCACGATTAATGCTGTCACATGTTAAGACATGCGATACGTTAATACTGTAATAAACCATAAAAATTTTATATTTTAATTGCAATTGGCATATAACTTTTTTAGAAAATCAATCTCATTATTCGCTCATAAGAATTTTCATCATTTTTATAATCATTTTTTGGCCAGAGACCGCCAGATTAATGCTTCCTACAATTTCAAGCTAGCAGATTGGGAGCGCTTTTTGATGTATCTATTTTAGAAGACAAGGCTCACGCGCGCAATGAGTTGTGGGATATCGTGTATCAAATTTCAAGTGTGATTTGCAAATTTTCGACTTTTTCGTTTGAGTATATTTTGCCCAAGAAGAGTCCATGGTATTTATCTTATTTTGTACTGGATAAGTGACTCCGAATCCTGCCGAAGGCTTATTGATCTCAGGTATGAAATATTATTGTTTATATCATATAATTATAACGTACATCGACCGTATTTACCCATTTTATCTTGTGGCTGTTGGCCTGTTGTAGTGTTGTGGCTGCTAAAATTTGAATTTGCGCGCGAGGTTTTATATATTGAATTATTTCATTTCAATGCCGTCAAATGTTAGTTAAAATCAACAATTCAAATTTTGAATAAACACATTATAGTAAATACTGGGTTTCACTTGTTTGACAAAACTCGAGAAAGCATGTTTGAACCCACATAGTATATAAAACAATATGTTAATATGAATATAAATATGGCTACATTGCTGATTGCTACTAGCCCAGTATTAAAGCCAAAACATGAACATTATTTGAGAGTATTAAACTCAAATCGCAATCTTATCTATCTGAATCATAAAATTGTTAACCCAATATATAGAATTGATTATTAAGATTATCAATTCAGTGCATATTTCTTGGTTTTAGCATGTATTAAATGGATTGACTTTAAATTAAGCATTTAATCCATTCAGCCAGAATGTGCCCCTACTTTTTTTCACTTGTCTAACGCCAGGTTTTTAACATGTCTTAGAACCCTGTATACGTATATGTGCCTGTTTATGTGATAATGGCATGGCTGGACAGGAGGTTTTAATCCAAGGGCCGGTTGTTCAAAGATGGGTTAACGCTAACCCTAGGTTAAAATTTAACCTGCTGTTTTAGTTCGTGTATTTCTGCACGTCTGTTTATTTCAAAACTTCAGAGAAGAAAACTCCTATCAATCCAGACAAGATCTCCGAAGAAATATTTTCAAATTTATAGACAAGCTGTCAGGAAGTTTGCTTTGAATTTTAGGTTAACCTACGGTTAAGCTAACCCAGCTTTGAACAACTGGCCCCAGGATGGTGTGTTTATATAGACGGAATATACCCCGCCTGGCAGGGATGATAGATATTTCAACGAACATTTTGCATTAAATGGGAAAATTAAGTGTTGTTGTTTACTAATATATTATTATTTATATGTTGTTTTACTACATATTACTATGTGGTTTACTATTAATAGTGTTTTAAAAAGGTTTTTAAAAAAGATAAATTCTGAAATTACACTGAAATAGTTTTGCCTGCTTTCACTTTTAAATATGGAATTTCCTTAAAACTTTCTTGCCGGACCCGGAGTTTTGACTGCCGGAGTCGGACCCGGAGCCAGAGCTAAAATAACCGGAGTTTGCACAGCTCTACAATAATCTGGCATTCAAAAGACAGTAAACTAAGGAAGTAGGGCACCTCAGGGCACAATATTCAGACACATCATGGTCATGTTAACCCATTAAAACAGGAATACTTTTCGAGAAGTTTGGCTGGTCGCTGACATGGGGTGTTAACTGGATATTACACTAAGCCGGACATTGCATAAGCCGCATTGTGCCACAACTTTATTGTTTTACTTGGTCTAATGTCAGATGATTTTACCTGTCAGTGCTATCACTCAATGGGTTACTGAAACAAGTAGCACTTGATTTAACCTCACTTGTATCTCCAATACAACTGAGGTTAAATCATAACCATATGAATGTTTTCTGGAATAAGACAATAGCATATTAAATCACAAATACCAACAACATTGCCCTTACATTTTATACCTATCTAATGGATTTGGCTGTTCAAAAATTCTTTCTCATGTTGTAACTCTATCCTACATAACAGAATGATTACAAATAAATTATTGATTTCTTTTTGTGGGAAAATTTGAGTCACTATGGTCAATTTGAGTCCCAGAAATCATGGTCCCACAGTCAAAATTTCAAATTTTAACCCATGAAGTTGCATCGCACCCTTTATTGTATTCCTGTCTAACGCCAGACAATTTTATTCGTGAGTGGGAGAGTGATGGTGGTTAATTGGTTAAGGATGCCAACAGCTAGTTGTAACTTCTACTGTAACTTAACACTTGCCCAGAGAAGTGAATATCATTGCCACAAAAAGCTAGGCATCTTTAAATTTATGTTTTCATTGCCGGATAATTTTTTTTATACAGTCCATGTTGTACTTGTGCATGGATTCAAATTTTGTTTTTTTGTGGGCCAACGCTAGATTTGAGGCATCTAGAGCAGTGAAAGAAAGGGTTGACATGTTGTCCCCTTAATTTATACCCCCTATCTACAGTAGGTACCCCAGTGGCCATTGTCTGATGGCAAGTGAATTTTATTCAGGGCAACTAATTTTCCTATCCAACTTGGCAAATTGAACTTGCCCTAAGGACAAGTGGTCAAAATAGTAAAGTTATACCACTGACTACTGAGTAAAGTATATGAGCTACAGTATCATGGTAATAAAAACTCTGGAATAAGGTATGCAGTTATTTTCAAAAAATTTACATCATCACTCATCAAATAGGTTGTTGAAGAAGTTTGAAGGAACCCCAATCAACCCGAAGAAGCAGAAGAAAGCGCATACATGAGGAATTGTGAAAATCAGAAGCTGATTGACCAATTGGACCCACTTATTTACTATGGTATTTCAAAAGGAGTTATGAAGCCACCACTGATGAACAGTGATCTGGTAATTAAATCATATCATTTTGTTTTTTGATTAATTAGAGTACGGGTACCAACATTGAATTCATTAGCACCGACATTAGGTGTCGCTAATAGAAAATAATGAATGAAAATTGCATTTTGGTTTATACTGTACCGGAAACTAATAAATAATATGAAAAATCAAAATTGCATTGTTTAGCTCTCAAAATATCACAAAGTTTTTATTAAAAATGTAACTTAATTAATATTATTTTTTATGTATGTAATTCTATAGAAAGTACTTCTGATCACCTACAGTAATGAAGAACATTTAATTCACTCTTCAAATAAAAAAGTCAACCAGCTAAGAGCAAACTGGACATCATAAACTTTGTTGAGGTGAGGTTATAGTTTCATTTTATAAAATTCATTTAGTAAGGCCTGAATCAAATTTAGTGTACAATAACATATACATTTTCTTAGTTTTGAGCTTTCCTATATAGTTGAGATAAGTTAATATGGGCTAACATCTGCCAACTGAGTGTCTCTTGTTCCATCCATCATACATCCTTTTCATAAATGGCTGGAATAAAAATTCCTTTGAAATCTTAACATGAGTATGAGGCTAGTTGGGCCAATTTATATGACCTTATATGCACATAAAACAATTTTTAATCAGCAGCCTTTTATGAAAAGGGTGTATTGTATTTCGCTCTCCATGTCTATAACCCCAGGGGATAGCTTGTTAGTGAAAACATAAGCTGTTAATTCATGAGGGTTGTGTAGTTGTTACCAAAACTATTTTAATTTGTGCTTTTTTCCTCAAAAGGAAGGAGACACAGACTTGACTACCTGGCTACAAATGAGGCCCGCTGACATACTGTATCAGGGCTGATCATGACATGGAGCTACTGGCAACATTCGAGAATAGCGAAACCGTAAAAGCCATCGTTTACTTCCTGGCGTTGTTCTACTGTACCTGCTCGACGTAAGACTACCCATCCACTCATCCAGACTCAGCAGTCTGACATGGTAAAGGCTTTTCAAGAAATTGAACAATATTGCTACGTGTGAGAACTTTTACATTTATCT